ACTAGTAATTTGAAACACCATTTGTTGCGTCAATGTAAGAACTTTCCTAAAGAGTCACTTGATCCCACTCAATAGACTCTTGCTCTTCAACAATTGGAAAAAGAAGATGGGAACGAATCTGGTAGTGTTCTCACTAGTGTCCATTTTGATGTTGAGGCATGTAGGAAAGCTTTAGCTAGGATGATTATTGTTGATGAGTTAGCTTTTAAGTTTGTTGAGGGAGAGGAATTTCTTCATTTTATGAGTGTCGTGCAACCTAAACTCTCGATTCCTAAAAGGATTACAATTGCTAGAGATGGTTGAGATTTGTACACGAGTGAGAAACATAAGTTAAAAAGTGGGTTAAATAAACCAAATCAATATGTCTGTCTTACAACTGATTGTTGGATATTTGTGCAAAATTTGAGTTATCTTTGTCTCACTGCATATTTCATTTATCATGATTGGAAAATCCATAAAAGGATTCTGAATTTTTTTCCAATTGTAAATCACAAAGGAGTAACCATCTACAAAAAAAATTGAAAAATGTTTGGAGGAATGGCTAATAGGTAATGTTTTCACTATTACAGTTGATAATGCTAGTTCAAATGATGTTGCTATCACTTACTTAAAAATACAATGAATGATTGTAATTCACATCCATTGAAAAGGGAACATATGCATGTTCATTGTTGTGCTCATATTCTGAATCTTATGGTCCAAGATGGACTAGAAGACTATCATTATTCAATTAGTAAGATTAGGAATAATGTTAGATATGTTCGTGCATCTCTGAGTCATATGAATAGGTTTAAAATTTGTATTAAGGAAGCTAGGTTACAAGAAAAGTTCATTGTTAAGTTGGATGTTTGAACTAGGTAGAATTCCACGTATATTATGCTTGAAAGTGCATTGAAGTTTCAAAATGCATTTAAGAGATTGAGTGAGAAATGTGTTGATTTTGTGTTGATGAAAGGTGGTATTCTAAATAATGAGGATGGGGATAATGCAAAATGTTTTGTTAATTTCTTGAAAATGTTTTTTGATATTACAAAGAAGGTTTCATGTTTTACTTTTGTAATCTCTTCTTAATATTTCAATGAACACATTAAGATATTAACTACATTGAAGGGGTGGATAATATTAAAAAGTTTAGATAACTTGCTTAGAAATATGGCTGAAAATATAAAGTTAAGTATGAAAAATATATGGGTGATGTTGAAAAAATGAATATGTTGATCTTTGTTGTTGTTGTGCTTGATCCTTAACATAAGATGCAGCTTGTTAGGTGAGGCTTGAACATGACATATGTAAAGGATGTTGTTGAATCTTTGTGTAAAAAAATAGAGGAGACACTATATAAAATATTTGAGAGTTATAGGCTTTTCCTTGGTAAAGGTCAAACTGAAAATCCTACACATTCCTCTCATGAAGTGGATTTGGTAGAACTTAAAGCACCAGATGATGCATTTGTTTTGGATGTTGAGATGGACATGAATCTTAATGAGAGCATGCAGAAAAATGAAGTGGATTTGTATCTCATGGAGAACTTGGAGAAGAAAAGTCATGGTTTTGATATCTTGAACTGGTGGAAGGTGAATTCCAACAAGTATCCTATTTTTGGTTAAATGGCTAAAAATGTATTGGTCATGCCTGTGTCTATTGTATCTTCAGAATCTGCTTTCTCTACCGGAGGTAGAGCACTTACTTGTTATAAAAGCTCTCTTACGCCAAAAACAATTGAAGCTTTAATTTGTACACAAATTTGGTGTAAATATTCCCTGGTGTCAGTCGATATTGAAGAGCTTGTGGATGAGTTAGAAAATATGAAATTAGGTAAATTACTTATAACTTTGTTTTTTGTTAAATCTTCCCCTTTATAACTTTAATTACTTGATATTTTGTAGAACTTGCTCCAATCCCTCAGTTGAATTATCTGATATAGATTTTGATTAGTTGTTGATATCTACGTTATGAAAGTTACTGTTATGCTATTCTGCTATTAAGCTGGAACTGTTGAAGTTGTTGTTTATGTTGAAGCTAAAACTGTTGAAGTTGTTGTTTCTATTGCTTTTTGTTGTTTCTGTTGAATACTTATGCTTTGTATCAATTATGCAATTCTGCATTTATATGGAATAGTTATTGACATATTGTACTAATGCAATTCTGCTAGTATTTGAAACCAAAAGTTTAATTCTTATTTTATGGTTCATGCATTAAATAATTATAGCAATAATTCTGCAATTCTATGGAATAGTTCTGCAAATTCTATAATTAATTATTATTTTATTGTACTTTGCTTGTAAGCTTAAAAGTTGTTGTCATATTTATAGCAAAAAATTTCTCACCAAAGCCCGGTCGAGCGGAATTTTTCTCACCTGATTATTAACTTTGATCCTACCCAACAGTGATTCTAATAAATTAAGATTCTCAACTAATAGAGACACAAATAAATTGTCTTGAGAAAACCAAAAAACATATATGTAATATAAACATGAATCGAGAAAGATTGTTATCAAGTGAAGCCATGAAAGCATATGCTTACAGGTCAAGTACAAATTTTCAATTTGTATGGATAGCAAGGGTTTGTTTAAAAATCGAATAAAATTGAATTAACCGAACTGAAATAAACCACGTAAATTGGATTAGATTGGATTTTTTAATTTGTCATCCAAAAACCAAACCAAATTATATGGTTTGTCTAAAAAATGATTTAAATCGAACCGCAAACACCCCCTACCTATTAATGATTTCTGCTGCGATAATATCCTAAGTGAAGGTGATCATGTGATGACAAATATTTGTTTTATATTATGTTTTATTTAACCCGTGTTACGGAGCAGGTGTTGTATGTTGTTTGTTTTTCCGCTGCATATTTTCTAAATGTTTTTGATTTGTTGAGGGGTTGTCGTTAGTGACATTTTAAATTATCGAATAACTATATATATATATATATATATATATATATATATATATATATATATATATATATATATATATATATATATATATATATATATATATATATATATATATATATATATATATATATATATATATATATATATGTTTTTTTTTATTTTAGAGTTTAAAGAGTTACATTAATGGTTGCATCAACTAACAAGACTCTGTGAAACAAGCATCCAACCTCCAAAAACAATTCTCTTCCCAAAGATGGATAAGGACACATAATATCTTCACCCAAACCACCCTCTATCCATGATTTAAAGAGCATTCCCAAGGATGAACCGAATCAAAATTAAGGACCACCTATCTTTATCTTTTTCTTTTAAAAAATGGGAATCGCTCCTTTAATTAGAGGTATGTTTGGATTGATGAAATGTGACGGAATAGAGTAGAATAAAATAAAAAATAGTGAAATTCTATTGTTTAAATTTATAAATAATGGATGAAATGGAACATGATAAAATTTATGTCATCTAATTCCATTCAATTCTCTATTTTTGTCCATCCAATTTTGAATGTATGCAATAAAGTGAGATATTTTTAATAAAATAGCTAAACAAGATATATATTTCATCTGCTTCAGGTCATTCTATTATGTTATGTTTCATTATGCTCTGCTGTGTTTCATAATCCAATCATAGCATAAATGTGTGGCGCTTCTCTTTACTTTTGAAGATAATGATCTCGTATAATTCTTAATTCGATTTTTCTCTATCGACTAAAATTTTAAAGTCTTTAAGAGGTTTTGAGAGTATTTTTTCTAAAAATAAATAAATTATAAAAGTGATTAAATTGATTTATTTAAAATCACATTATAGACCTGTTTGTTTTGACTTTATTTTAAAATAAATTTTATAGTGTTAAATAATTTTATGTAAAAAAGTTTCCAAAAATTTTTTTTATAAAATTTCAAATGAAAATTTAGATTAAATAGTTATTCTTAAAAAGTTATTTTAAATATTTTATTTTATTGAAACTTTTTATAGATATGAAAATTTTAAAAAATCACTTAATTTTAAAACTATTTCAAATAACATTTTATAAACTTATATTTGAGATTCAATTTTTTACAAAAATATTTATGTTATAGAATGGCAAAATTAATCTTTCAATTTAGAAAAAACAAATATAAATATTTTATAATATTTAAAAAATAATTTTATAAAATCCATTTTTAAAAATAAAATAAAAAATTCTATATTTTTAAAATTAAAACAAAAGACCCGTAAAAAACCCATAAGAAGTGTGTAAGGTAAAATCTATTCCCCCTTCCTTCAAAGTCTTATATTTCTTTTTCCTCTAAATTAAAAAAATAAACTCTTAATAGAAATATAATAAATGCTCTTTAATGTTTTGTTAAATCGTTTTCCAACAACAATGCAGTTTCACTAAACTCTCATTTTTCTCAATAACAATTTTAAACTTTTAAAATTAAAAAAACAACAAAGTAAATTATTGTTAGAAGAAGCAAGAAAAAAAAAACATAGAATACATGGTGCTAGTTTGTTTTTTTTACTAGTGCATTGCAACTATAAACTAGAAAACGCGTGAATTTGTATTTTTAAGGGCTATAAATACGCTCCTATCCCCATGCTTATTGTTCATGCAAACTGTCCACCAGATCAACCAAGGTAGTAATAATCAATTCTCTATTTTATTCTATACCAACCAAAATTTTAATCTCTCATTTTATCTCTATTGACTTTTTCTACTTGTTTCTTTCTTCCATTAACACTCAAGTATCTAATCTACACTACATTCTCACTTGTGTTAGTTCACTTAATCTTTGTTTTACATGACTTGCTTCTTTCTCATTTCCCAGCTCAATCACTAACCCCACACTAATTAATCATCTAATAATTTAATTAATCATATAACTAATTAACTATTTTTTTGTCATTGCAATTTTCAGGAATTTCATAGCATTCACACAAGAGAAGATGAAGAATCACATACACACATTCTCACTCCTTTTTATATAAATTTTCTCAACACTTTTTTCAGTTTTCTCACTCTTTCAAACAACAACAGGAAACAAAACAAGTAACATTAATATGAACAAACAACTCATCCTTATCTGTCTCTTTATCCTCTTCACATCTATCATTGTAAGTACATGTTTTTTTCTTTTCATTATCATTGTTCAAAGTATCAATTTTTTTTATTGTTCATGTTTATATAATTATAAATTCTAAAATGGGTTTTCAATTTCCATCAATGCAGGTAACTATATCCGGCGATGCGGTGGCCGGAGACAAAAACCCGTTCACTCCCAGATCATATGTCAACCGTTATTGGGACAAAGAGATCCGCAACGGCTTACCTAAACCGTCTTTCCTGTTATCCAAGGCGTCACCGCTAAGCACGGTGGAAGCCGCTACGTTCGCCAAGTTGGCCGCTGGGAATAGTCTATCCACGCGCCTGCCGGAGTTTTGCTCCGCTGCAAACCTCCTCTGCATCCCAGAAGTTGCTGCAAGTCTCGAAAAACACGACAAGGACGCAAACTTTGCTGTTTACAGAGACAAGAATTTCACCAACTACGGAACGAGTCGACCCGGTGGAGTGGATTTGTTCAAAAGCTACTCCGACGGGGAAAACATTCCGGTGAACGATTTCCGTCGCTACAGCCGTAACTCCGCCGGCCACAAAGACAGTTTCACCAGCTACGCCACAGAAAGCAACGTGGCTGACCAAAGCTTCCACACATACGGCACCGGAGCCACCGGCGGTAGCGGCGATTTCAAACAGTACACAAAAGAAACCAACAACCCCACCCTCGTTTTCTCTTCTTACTCCGACAACTCCAACGGAAGAACCCAATCCTTCAGTTCTTACACCGAAAACGGAAACGCCGGAGATCAATCATTCTCATCCTACGGCAAAAACGGCAATGGCCCCACAGAAGAATTCACCTCGTACGGAACAAGCACCAACGTTGTCGGATCCAGTTTCTCTAACTACGCTGAAACCTCAAACGCCGGCAACGACAGTTTTACAAACTACGGAATAGATATGAATAACCCAACCAACAATTTCAACAACTACGCTAACGAAGGTAACGGCGCAGTTCAAACATTCTCAAACTACCGTGAAAAAGCCAACGTCGGTGCAGACACTTTCACCAGCTACGCCAAAACAGCAAACGCCGCTAAAGTTGATTTCAACAACTACGGTAAATCGTTCAACGAAGGAACCGACACATTTACAAGCTACGCTAAAACATCAACCGGCGAGACAAAAGTTAACTTCAAAGGCTACGGTGTTAAAAACAGTTTCAAAGAGTATACAAAAGACGGTGTTTCTTTTGCAAAGTATACAAACGTGAGTTCAACGGTGGAAGAGAGAAAAAACACGGTGAGTGGCAATTTGGTAAAAAAATGGGTTGAGCCGGGTAAATTCTTTAGAGAGAAAATGTTGAAAGAGGGTACAGTGATGCCTATGCCAGATATTAGCGATAAATTACCTAAAAGGTCGTTTTTACCCCGGAGTATACTCTCGAAATTACCGTTTTCTACCTCGAAAATCTCTGAAATGAAAGAGCTATTCAAAGCTTCGGATAATGGTTCAATGGAGAAAATGATGAGAGATTCATTGGGAGAGTGTGAGAGAGTTCCAAGCCGCGGTGAAACGAAACGGTGCGTTGGGTCCATTGAGGACATGATCGACTTTGCAACTTCGGTTCTCGGTCGAAACGTTGTCGTTCGGACTACTCAGAATTTAAATGGGTCGAAGAAGAGTGTTATGGTGGGTCGGGTTAGTGGTATCAACGGTGGGAAAATTACCCGATCCGTTTCTTGTCATCAGAGTTTGTTTCCTTCTTTGCTTTATTATTGTCACTCTGTTCCTATGGTTCGGGTTTACCAAGCGGATCTACTTGACCCGAAAAGTAAGGATAAGATTAATCAAGGTGTTGCGGTTTGCCACTTAGATACTTCGGATTGGAGTTCCACTCATGGAGCTTTTATGTCTCTCGGGTCGGGTCCGGGTCGGATTGAAGTTTGTCATTGGATATTTGAGAACGACATGTCATGGACAGTTGCTGATTAATTGAGAAGGTTGTGAAAATCAAGACTTGGTTTTTTTTTTCTGCTTAAAAAAATTTAGCAGTTAAAAGAATATTTGTTTTGAATTTTAATTTAAATATTTTAAGTAATGTAATTTTTTTTTTTTTCAATTTTTAGTTTGATAGAAAAAAGTCAAGTAATGGTATTATTACATTATATTATTATTATATTATTATTATTAATTGTAAGTGTTATGGGTTGTTTGCTTGGCTTCCTTAATGATGGGAGAAAATGAAATGTAATAACTTGATAACTTGTGACTGTTTTGATTTTGTTTTTGTTCAATTATTTAGTGATTCTATGGTATTGGTTAGAATGAGATAGAACAAAATTGAAAAAGAGACAACAAAAAAAAAGACATGAATAAGATTTTTTGATGATAAATTTTGTGAGAGTAAGAAGAATTAGAGGACATGGAATTGGATTTTCCACAAATATACAAAGCCATGTGAACTAAAAAGATGAGGTGGTCCTTAAACCAACCAAAACATGCTCTTGTATTGGTGTGACAAAGTTCACGGGACATATATTGTTGGCCAGTGTCCAAATATGAGAAAAATAAAAAATAGACGTATATATAAATAAAATAATAATAATAATTTTTTAATTAACTTCCTTTAAAAATAATATTCTTTTAGTTTAGGAATGGCTCAAACTCACTATTAAAGATGTGCCCATGTTTGTTTTTTTTTATGAGAAGGTTTAAACTATGATATAACTTTCACTTAAATCATTTTGTTGGTTAGAGCCGATCATGTTGGTGTCAGACACGATAGTGATCTAACATTTATAATTAGATTTAATTTATTTATTTTTTAAATTATTATTAGTGTTGATGTTTTTTAAATTATTACTAGTATTAATGTATGAGTGTTTAGACTGATGTCCGTGCTTATGAGGCTGGACTACATGATTCTTCACACCATTTGATTGATTCACAATATTGATGATATTCTAAAATTTTGGAGTTATGAAATTTAGAGGATTTCAAATTTCCCACGTGTTTGTTGGATATGAAAGACAAAACATCTATAACGATTTAACGATGCATACACTGTAACCACAACAATTTATGGAAATGATTTTATTGCAAAAATTTGGGGCCATGGCTTGTATCAGTATGTAGGCAAAGATATATGAATAACTCAATATAGGCTTGTATCAGTATGTAGGCAAAGATATGAATAACTCAATATAAGAACATGTGAACAATGAACATTAAATGAAAGCATACAACAGTTGTAATATGCAATGATCCAACTTAATCAAAACCTGACTCGCAAAAAAAAAACCGGAAATTCTACCTGTCAAAAATAGCCGACTAAAAAAAGTGAGAAATCTAGCAAAAATTGGGGAAAATTGGTGGTTGACTTAATTTTTTGGGTTTGGAATGTTTTTTTCTTTCTTTTGTTTTTGTAAAAATGTAAAAATGATTATACAAATTTCTTATTCTATTTTATATAGTTCACAAACAAAATCTTGATTTATGGTATAAATAGACAGACTTGATCGAGTTTGGAGAACAAAATATCGGTTATTACCTTAGTTAAATAGTAGTGCTCATGCATAGATTTATTGTTCGGACCATGAGAGATAAAAGGCAAGACATGAATAGAAAAGTAAAGGAGGACAAATAAATACTTAGACGGGTAATACCTCGGTTTAAGATTATCATGCCTGAGCCGAGTTGCATAGCTGGAGGCATATGTGGTCGGCCATCGAGAAAGATGAAGAGACGCCAGCCGGACTTATCCATGGATCTAGGGGTTACATAGAGTCCGACTTTGATGAGGTCGTTATAGAGTGATCGGCCTATTAAGAGTGTAACCGCTCATCAATACATGACTGCGCGCGTTATGATAACAGCCATCATTAACAACGACAGACGTTTCTTGCCTTAAATGGCAACTCAATTACGTATGATGAAGAGTCACAAAAGTTACATGCAGTAATCAATGAGGTCCAGATACCTCTATATATAGGGCTCCCGGTTGAGGGGTAAGCAAGACATGTCGCTTGGAGCTCACGCATACTTGTGTGACCCTCTGAACCCCTTAATATCATAAACAATTCACCCACTTGCTTAAGGCTCTCCTCGATACCCTTCAATCAGCGGAGAAGTCACCCATTTAGTGTTTAGCAAGAACATTTGACGTCCACCGTGGGGCCTAGTAAAACTTTCCTAGGACGCATTATCCAAACACCTTTGAGTAATGTCTTCTGATGAGGATCCTCCTCCAGGCATGCCGCAGTTATTGGTCATGATCGAGGATCTTCGCCAGTATAATGATACGCTGCAGGACAACGTCCAGGCCCTGCAGATGAAGAGCCAGGACGATGATGACCAGGGGCTTGAGCTTTTTGGAGCCTCATCCATTATCCCATGCTATCTGGGACGATCAGGTTCCAGAGAATTTCAAACCTCCGACATTTACAACATACGACAGCAAATTCGATCCCCATGAGCACATCATTGGTGTTAATAATATGATGGCAATAATCGGGGCTAACGATTCGTTGAAGTGAAAGCTTATGGACGAAACCTTCAAGGAATCGGCCCTGAGGTGGTACATAAGCCTTCCCAAGAACTCTGTTATCAGCTACCAAGACTTCACCAAGAAGATGGTTCAGCAGTTCTCGGTAAGCCGACATTGAAAGGTGTCGACAACAACATTGTTTAATGTTCGTCAGCTCCAGTCAGAATCTATGAGGGATTACATGGCCCAGTTCAACGAGGAAATCATAAAGGTATATCATCCTAATCAGGAGATACTTATGGTAGCTTTCCAGCACGGTCTTCGGGCTGACCAATTCAATGAGTCACTGGCCCAGAAACCGACTTCCAACATGGACGAGATAATCACTCGGGTCGAGTGTTATGTAAAAGGAGAAGATAGTAATGGAAAAGAGAACTAGAGACGCTAGAGAAAAAGGAAGGGTCTGGGAAGAATCTTTCGGGCAGAAGAAGGAGCAGACTAGGTCTTGTGATCGACCACCACCTAAGGAGCGGCCTCCTCACCTGCCATCCCGACGATCTTTGATTTCGTACGAAGACCCCACTCCTCTAAATGCTAGAAGAGAGGACATCTGGAGAGATGTAAATCACCTCAACTTGCTGCCTAGACCTTGGCGTCCTCATGGAATAAACGCGATCTTGAGGGATGGCACCGAGGCTTGGTGTGCGTATCACCGGATCCGGAAACACCACATTGAGGACTGCCATCAGTTGAAAAAGGAAATTGAGAAACTGATACAAAGGGGCAAGTTGTTGTCTTATGTCAAAGGTAATGCCGAGCAGGCCGGAAAACGAAGCCCTCCCAGGAGGGATAACAACTCGGGATGCCCTTCCAAGAAGAAAGGAAAAGAAACAGATGAAGTCCGAGAAGCATGACTGACCCGACACGCCTAACACCATCTCTAGAGGATTTGCTGGAGGAGGCTCCACCAGCTCATCACGAAAGAGGTATGCCTGGAATGTAATGCATGTGGCTCAGGTGGAATGGACAGACAAAAGCCGAGATCCTGGGGCTATCACTTTATCCCGGGAGGATGCATAAGGAGTCTTGCCACATGAAAACAACCCCATGGTCATTAAAGTTCAGATAAGGGATTAAAGTGTCAAGCGGGTGCTAGTTGATCCTAGAAGCTCAGCCGACGTGATGTACTGAGAAGCCTTCAAAGGAATAGACTTTGACTCAAAAGAGTTGCAACCATTCAATGGGACCTTAGTCGGGTTTTCCAGAGAGAAAGTGCAGGTACTCGGGCACCTTCCGGTTCTAACTGTATTCGGAACGAAGGAGAATGCCAAAGAAATTAGATTACAGTACTTGATTGTCAATGCATCGTCTCCCTACAACATCATAATTGGGAGACCATCATTCAATGCACTGGAGGCGGCGTTGTCAACCCTGTACCTCACTATGAAGTACCCTCTCGACGAGGGTCAGGTAAGAATGGTACGTGGAGACCAAGGTCTGGCACGTAGAAACTAAAGAGGTTCAGATTGGTCCTCAATCCCTGGAGATTACTCACCTAGGGACCAATCTATCACTAGAGGAAGAGGGTGAAATTGTTGATATTCTGAAGAGAAACATTGATTTGTTTGCGTGGAAGCCATCTGACATGCCCGATATTGACCCTAACGTCATGTGTCATCACTTAGCACTTGATCCAGGGGTGAAATTAGTGTCCCAATGAAAAAGAAAGGGTGGATAGGAAAAGAGAAAGATGATAGTTAAAGAGGTGGATAAACTGATGAAGGCCAGATTCATCGGAGGAGATCAAGTATCATACCTGGCTATCCAATGTGGTAATGGTTAAAAAGTAAATCGGGAAGTGGAAAATATGCGTAGACTTCACCAACCTCAATAAGGCATGTCCAAAGGATCCTTATCCGCTGCCTCATATTGACCGGCTGATCGACGGAGCTTCTGGGTTCCAGTTACTGAGCTTTATGAATGCTTCTTCCGGATATAACCAAATCCGCATGAACCCGTTGGATGCATCAACGACAACATTCATGACAGATCGGAGTAGCTATTAATATGAGGTTATGTCGTTCGGTCTGAAGAACGTCGGGGATACTTACCAGAGATTAATGGATATGGTTTTCGCTCCATATATTGGACGGAACATGGAGGTATATGTTGACGACATGGTGATCAAGACTGTTGAAGAACGGAGGCATGTTCAGGATTTGGAAGAGACTTTCGCGGTGGTGCAAAGTTATAAAATGTGCTTTGTGATGCGGTGGGAGAACTGACTTGAGGTTTTGAGTTTGTGTTCGCAAATGTTGCGGTTTAGTAAGAGTCGCCACCGACTTTTATTTTATCCAAAAGGAAAGGTAAAAAAGCACAGGAAAGACCTTTGAGATTGTTTTTAGTTTCGGGGGGTAGATTATGAAAAGGGGAAGTGCTAGCACCCTTTTCATCCATGGTTTTCCATGGGCTCTTAGTTACTTGTTTTAGATCACTTGCTTTGCTT